TAGCCTTCTTTTTCACTATCTAATATCTGGTTAGTTTTTGGAATATGGAAAATATTCAGGCAGGAGATAACCTGGTTGTAGCCAATACTCAAGGTTTCACAAAATTGGCAATGAAGAACAGACTGAATCAAGCCTTGGCATGGTTAGAGCAACAGCCTGGAGAGAAGACAAGTGTAGCAGTACAGCTATTTAATGTAAAGATGACAGCAATACGGATACGTCAATCACGAAAGCGCAATCAGTAGCGAAATATACATGGAGGTTTCAACCAACACAGAGGCAATAATATCATCTTGACACCAGCTCAGGAGAAGGCAGTTTATAAGTTTTGTTATCAACAATGGATGATGGGAATCGCAGCAATACCATCTATTGTTTTTGCAGCTATTTGCAATTGTCATCGGCAAGAAAAGCTTAATCCTCCCTCACAAGATATTTGTTTCAAAAATAGTTGAAAACAAATCCAACCCTACATACAATTAAAAGCAAGCCAATAGCCTCGAGTTAGGCTTACAATACCTACAGAGCCAGACTTACATGCATTCTTTAAGGACTATCAGTAAACCTTGAAGAAGTACAGCATATAAAGAGCAAAATACATATATAATATTGATGAATCTAGAGTACGAATTAGATGTGCAGGAGGAAAGATTGTAATTGTTCCTGCAGAGACTAGGGAGTTATATACCTCAAGCCCAGTGAATCGGCAATTACTTTCTATTGTTGAGTCAATTTGTGCTAATAGAGGTCCACCACCTCCTCCACTTATTATTTGTCTAGGGGAAAAGATTATGGAAAACTGGATCTATAATAACCTCAATGGTGCAGAAGTAATTGCAGTATCTCCTACGGGGCATACAAATGAGAAGATTGCACTCTCTTGGCTTGATTACTTTATCAAGTATGTCGAAGTAGGACCTGATAGGCATTGGAGAATTCTGCTACTTGATGGTCACTCTACTCACCGCCAAAATGACTTTATTATAAAATATCATGAGAACTGAATTATCTCTTTCGAATTTCCATCCCATCTCACTCATATTCTCCAATCTCTTGATGTTGGTATATTTCATCCCTGGAAGCACTATCATAAGATGTCTATCAGTAATGCCTTATACTCACTTGATATCGATTATACAATTTCCTCCTTTTTCCGCGATCTGAGTACAATTCGCAGTCAAACCTTTCAGGCCCATACAATCAAGAATACATTTAAAGATTCAAGGATGTTTCTAATATCTTGTAAGGCAGCATTAAAGAAAATGCGCTATTACAACCCAATAACAACAAATCTGTTGGAAACCTGAAAGATTTACCTCAAACTCCCCTTAATGAACAGGAAGAACAGGATCTCCCAACCTTGCCCTCAACATACCGTGAAAGTCAACAGGGTATTAAAGAATGGGTTGATTATGCTCGCATATTTAGTCCAAAAATAAAGCATCGATTTGAACAATAGGCAGAAGGAACTGAGATTCTTCTTGCTAAAGCATAGCTTGAGGAACAAACATATCAAAATGTACAAAAGAGAATCCAGGAGCAGGAAATCTGCAAAAGTACCTCTTGAAGAGTTATTCAAAAAGGAGGAGGAATTACTGTAGAGGCTGCATGACAAAGTAAGAAGGAAAAGGAGGAACGAGAAAAGGCAGCTGCTATTAAAAGAGCGAAGAAGAATATAGAAATTGCAGTAAATAAGGCTAAGGCTGCCCTGAACTATCGTGGAATCACAGCATGCAAGCTTGGGAAGCAGTGTAAAAAAGAAGTTCAAAATATTATGTTACAAGAAGGGACAATTCCTCCTGAGTTGTTAATTGCGATTCCTGATCTGGAGAAGAATCCAACTTCTGATAATCTTGAATCACTCCTCTCTCCTCCAGATTTGCTACAAGCTTCATGTATGCTTGAACAACCAGCTATTGGCCATAGGATTACAACTGTAAGTAGAGATTGATTATTAAACATAATATCTTAAATATAAACAACAAGAATAATACTAATACACAAAAGGTTGAAAACAATCATCAAGTAATGGAAGATTTCAAGGGTCATGACAGAGGTCAAGCTGTCAGTAATGAATCTGATAGTGATTCTGATTTATCTACTTTTTCTCTTGATTCTATTATTGAAAATGCTTATTTTATCGGTATTAATTAAAATTGTACAATTTGTATTATTCTCTACACCAGTTGTACCTAGTCATAAACGACCACACAAAAAAAAAAAAAAAAAAAGTCATGTCACACTTACTTCGGCGTCACACTTGCTTCTACTGACTATGAGTGACGGCGAAATAGGAGAGTAACCAGCTATTAGAGTTCAAGTGTTTTGAATTGATACTAAGATATACTATAGACTATCAATTTAGATCTTAAGAAACCATAATGCTATTGTATTAAGTTCAACTTCTTTTATACTACTTATTTTAATCTACTTCAAAATTCTGACTAATTAAATAACTTATGTCATAGTTATAATGTTGTTATTATAGTGATTCTAGAGAGAAGGTAAATTTAATTAAAAGACTAAAATAAGAGGAAAAGAAGAAATTTATATTTAATTTTATTTAAAGAATAAATGTAGAAGGTAAAATAGTACAAGTTCAGTAACTATGATAATAGTTAAAATTTAGGTCATATTATACTAATAAATATGTAACAACTTTACTGTTTTTTTATTTTATATTATCAGATATATTTTTAAGTTAAATAACTACAATTATGCAATATTATAACACTAGAACTATTCCAGTGTTAACAGAGCTATAATATTCTCATAGCTAGATTCTCCTATAATGTTAAATAAATTCCTATAATGTTAATACTTGTAAGAATAATCTGTACATTTTTCTTACATACTTACAATACTTAGAAATGTTTACTATAACAATTTAATATAATACTACTTTAAGTTCAACCATAGAGTCTTCCTTACTAACCTATTTAGTATATTTGATTTTTATAGAATAATGGCTAACAAGTTGAAGTCCATATACTATTATTTATATTTGGAGCTAGTATTTGCAAATTAACCTACCATACATTCCGAGCCACTTCAAGTGTTCTAATTGGAAATGCTGCCCTACTGCCTGATAAAATATATTGGGATGAAATCGGCTAAAATCCTTTATCTCATACAAGGCCAACACCCCGGCTCTGTTGATTTTGTTTTTAATTTTATCCCTTGGGAAAGGGCCTCCCATCCAGAATAAATTCTAGTATACAAATGCTTTCTGTGCCTGGTTTTGGATTATTATATGGAAGAAATATGTAAAATTCTGGTACCCAATATTTCCGTTGCCTGTTGGATTGTTGGGAATATTTTGTTGCTCTAAAGGTTGATCCTATGGTGCCCGTGCCATACAGCTTCTTTAGAAACCCGAATAATTGATCCTTGTGCGAGGTAGTCTAAAATTTCCTCGTAAGGAAAAGAGTCGAATAACACAGCACAGCAGGATCCATTCAGCCCCTCTGAAAAAAATACAAAAACGAAAATAATATCAGACCTTACCGGAGGAGGCAACTCGAACGACATAGCACACAGTTCAATTAGTTGGGAATTTTACTGTATGACTATAAACAAAGTGACGCCTACGGTCCTTTACATATGCTCCTCAACGGAAACAGAAAAATATAATCTACTGGGGCATCCTCTTCCGGGCGTGTAACAACCGCGTCATATGTTAATTTACCGACAACCGCCCAACCACCAAAGATTGAGTTACCCTCCCTGATCGAACACCGATGGCATGGTCGAGCATTATAGATACAGGGCTTAAGCGGCTCCAGATCTTGAGCCCTACGTGTGATCGTCCTAGTATGGCCGCATGCTAGTGCACATGCGTGCATCATCTAGAATACGATTCGAGCACATTCATACCACTGGCCATTTGCCAGGAATGCAGATTTAACATCAGCTCTCTCCTTCCTTAGATTCTCTCTATTACGGGGGTCATACCATATGCGGATTCATTATTGCACACAGGTCGGGCCAAGACAGTCAGAAAGCTGCAAAAATAGCCCGACTTTTTTTTGTGAGGGTTGTCACGGAGCACACTCCTTTTCCCTGCTACAGAAGGAAGGTGGTCGCGGGGACGTTTTGGAGAAACCTTCCAGAGCGGCTGTCAACAAGCCAAAAGTAGCTGGAGTCTGCAGCACACCCTCCCTTGGCCCTGCCCATTAACCTTCTGTTCTGTTGACCAATGCTTCCCCTAGTTACTCGAATGATTCAAAAGATGCGCTCAATGGACCGTGGGGCTGAACCCGAACAATTCAGAGTCCGTCATTAACACTCGAGTCTCCCTACCCGCTCTTTTTCAATATCCTTCTTGGAGCCGCACTACCGACATGCAGGAAACTGCTTACATATATAGTGTTTTCTCTATCGCCCCCAACGTCGAACGTGATCTACAAATGTTTCTGCAAAGGCTACCATATGTACAGTACAAATGCACAAAAATCATTCCTAACTTGACTCCTCCGGTTTCTAAATGCATTAGGGTAGGGCAAAACTTTTCTTGTACGGTTCTTGGTTTCTTCTACCGTTCGATGATTCCAGAACATTTCCGTTATTGATCCAAAGGAAAGAGAGGGAGAGAGAAATGGCAGCTAGCGTTGGCCGCGTTTGGTTTGATATCAGTCAACATTCCGTATATGCCATTAAGAACATTCTAAAAGTCACCAAGGGAGATATTGTTAAGCGCTAGCTTCCGTTAGAAGTAGTCCCTAGGAAATTTAGAGTCCGGTTCGATACCTGAAGGTTCATAATACACTACTTGGGACCTTAGGGGGAGGTTAGTTCCCCCTCTTGACTTGCCACTACTTCTCACCCTCTCACTCCATTCTGCATACCCTTGCGGAAACCAGCCCCTTCTCAAGTTCCTACCACTACAGGATCTGTCCCACCATAATCAGCAATGACTCTCCTTGGTCCCTTGATCCTAAAGCGCTATATACACCCACATCCCCAAGATTGGAAACGACGTGCGCCAAATCTATCCGTCCGTGCTTTCTACGCCACCTAGTCTACCAACCTCTATTCTCCCCCGTACATACGGCACGTACTAATGACACTCGGTAACTCCTGCGGTGAGCCTCATAAGTAAGCCCCTTGCAAATCAATACGCCTATGATAAGTGACCACGGTATATGTATATTAAAGCAACCCAGAGCTCTGCTTTTTAAAGTAGCCACGCCCTCACGGCCTCGACCCCATCCACACAACCCCACGCCCATGGCATTCATCCAACGATAAAACCAAACGCCAGGCCAAGCCCCGCCTTCTTTTGATCTTCCCCACTGGATAGACCTTGTGCCAAACCACCGATCCTGTCTCTCCCTAGCCCTTCTTCAAACCCGAACCAGAGTCATTTCCAATGGACTCCACTAGTCCCCTAGACGGCGGGGTACATGACAAGAGTGGACGCTACACATACCTTCCTTCTCCACACTTTTCAGGTGCCCGAGACGCAGAGATTGTACCAGCAACAGCCTCCGACGATTTGGGGTATAGATATGGAGGCAACCACCGCCAAAACAGCATTCAGAACAGCTACCCCACAAACCTTCACGAACGGGCGAAGGATTTCGAGACAGCCAACTACCAAAGAATGCCCTGTTCCCCCGGGTCGATACCCCCAGACTACAGAACCTCGGACTCTAGCCATATTGGGTCCAAGATAGAATCAGCATCACCAAACCATAGAATCAACAATACTGCGGCATTTCCAGTCGTCAACGATAACTCTGGTTCCCACTCATACTTGCCCACAGGTTTCACAGGAGACAAAGGTGTCAATTGTGGTAAGTTTCTTCATGCAGCATGTGGACTTCACGCACAGTCAGCGCTGCGCAGAAAGCTAACCACCGATTACTATTATAATAGCTCGACTCTCGCCAGGTAGACAAGTAAATCCACGTAACCGATTCCATCCGTATAGCTCAGAACTTTCACGCTCGCATACGGAGAATGCATTAAACGGAAATATTGGATACAACGAAAGGATTTTGCAGGGCAACTTACACCAAAAGGGACTTCCCCGGACGATTGTTAACGAAGGAGACTATGTGCATGGAGCACCATTAAGCCATGGAAGATCTCCTGATGGCCATAGGGATTCGGGTGCGTCGTGGCCTCCAGGATCATGGATTACCTCCCCTTCCTCCGACCTGCAGGTTCCACAATATCCGTCAACTTATACAGCCTTCAGCACGAGTCCCCACCTAGAGACGAGCTACGTGACGGCTCCCTACGGGTCGGCTACACATATGCCAGATGGGGGATTATCTCAACCAGGAAGCTCCCCAGGACAACGACATTCGGCGCGGAGTCACTCACTTGAAACCCTCAGCTCAAGCCCACTACCCAACGCAATTCATTGTCCGCATTGTACGCAGACTTTCCCAACAGCTGAACAGTACACGTAAGCAAACTGCCCTTTCACTTGCTATGCTCAGCTGGTTACCCGAGACTCCCGGTACTCGTACGGTCATCTAGGACTAATCATTACCGTTGAACAGGAAGCACCAGCAAAAGCATCAAAAGATGTATCGTTGCCGCTTCGACAATTGCACTCGTACCGAGGGCTTTGCTACACCGAACGACCGCGAGCGACATGAAAAATCCGTTCATAAGATCGCTGGTTTCTACTGGAGGTGCTTGGATCCCAACTGCTCGAGCTTTAGGAAGGAGTTTGCGAGGAGGGATAATTTGAAGGATCATTTAAAGAGAATGCACACTATGCCACCTGGAGTTGACGAGCGGGAAGCCAATGCGTGGAGGAATCAGATGGCTGATAGCGGCAAATATGAGAAGCCAGACACCACCAGGGCCCTCAGGTAATGCACAGCTGGAGTTGGGTCACCCAGGGTTGTCAGAGCTAGAAGTTTTATTTCTTATTGGGGACATCTATTCGGGATTTCCCACGTTGGTTAGGCGTTAAGTGTGAATTTTTTTCTCGACATTAGATTTCACTGCATATATTGTAATTGGGTGGTGGTATTGAAAAGAAAGCATTTCTAGTTCGTGTTGATTCTGCGGGCGTGTGGGCTTCACTCGTTTTGCTTGGCAGGATATTCTTACAAAGAGCGGTGTTTGGGCATGGGAGTGCAAGGAGCTTCCTTTTTTTTTTTTTTTTTTTCCTTCTCTTATTTCCCCTGTTTAATCTATTTACCTTCTTATCGCTATTATTCCGTTCTCGCTTTTTCTCACATAATTGTTCCTCTGGCCAATCAATTTCCATCGATTTCTTTCCATACTTGTACAATACCATAATCGCTCTAGCATAACTATCCGGCGACCAGCGGAGTCTAACGAGATCGGGACCATTTCTATGACTGGCTCTGGTGGTTCGATGGACCTTTACTGAAGCGAGTTAATGCTCATTTCCAGCCCTAGGGATGCCATCTATTATCGCTTGTAACATCGTGCTCGCTATTATCGAATCATGGCAGTGGTAAACCATTAAATTTTGGCTTTGCAAAACTGGAAAAAGGAAAGAAGTAAAAAAAAAAAAAGGGAAAAAGAAAAATAGAGTCAAAATCCCGATGTCCATCAGTGCGGGATAAATGAGCATCTCAGTGCTCAGAGATTGATTCGGGTGGAGCACCCATGCACTAAAAAACCAATCGGAGGAGTCTCTCTCCAATAGGATTCGAGTTGTCTGTACTATCAACACCACTCGAATACGGTCCTGGTCGTACCACTGTTCTGGTTCACCTCAAACTAGAGAAAGGTACTCGTGTTGGAAATTAGTAGCTACCCACCCGAGTGAGCGTAAAGACTCGGGCCAGTTGGATTCTCAGAAATGTTTACCCCACGGTCTCAAGTCGGTCCTGGAACTAAACCAAAGGATCAACCTTTGGTAATCCCTAGATAGTGCTTGCCGCCAGCATTCCTTTGACCCAGCCGTCCAGTTACTACACCCGCACAGTAAATGTTTTACGGCAGGAGCAACCATTTGACCCGAAACCACCCAGGTTGTCTTGTGGCGCACGCAATAGGATTCGAGAAAAGAAAACCAGCTGCGAGGGTAAAGCTCTCGGAGTCCAATGAGCCAGAAGGTTGTACAGACTGATCACAATATGCTGACCACCTCGCGGCACTCCCTGTCGCACTTCTTCTATAATAGCTCTTTGTCATTCCCCGGCACTTTTTTATTCTGTGATGGCGGCAATACACGAAGCCTCAGTGGCCAGGAAGAGCCGAATAACCCGATAGGTTCAACCCACCATACGGATCCGTGAGCATTGAGAGAGCTGGAATCTTCACCGTTACATAAATCACAGTGAATTTGGGACAAAAATTTTCCCACATCGCTAGTCTTCTCGACCAACGGACCCCACATGCGTTAAGACATCGATTCCACAACAGATACACAGAGAGACCATGTTCCTGTTCTGGGTGCAGCTGGGACCTCCCTAACACCGCCTTGGCTAAGAGCCACACTTTGAGCCTCGCCAACCTTGTGGGAATCTTTTCCCGCGAATACCCCTGGTGCAGGTATGCCATGATTTTCACTCAGCACTATAACCGAATCTAGATGCTGAGGAATCCTGAACCTTTGGGCGTATCAGTTGGTTGCAGCGCGTAGATCTACTCCTTTGTTTTCCGGATGGTTTCTGGTGCGTCTTTTGACCGCGGCAGGGTTGTCTCTTCGGCATATGAATAAGTTAACATTCGAGTTCCCCAGATTTTGACACTTGATGAATTGCCTTGAGGGCTATGGTAGACATAAAAACATGGAGCTACTCTTGAAATAGCTACAAAACTATAAGCTCTCGAGGCTGGTACTCTCTTGAGCCTAAGTTACCCGCAGTCTACGGGGGTATCCGCTTAAGAGTATTCCAGATAAACACAACACTCCAACGGCCTAGAAGTGCGCTTCTAGCGAGGAATTTAGCACTTCGACAAAAGGCAAAAACATAGCTCAAGAACTATTGCCCCATTTGATCATTATGGGCGATACCTTAAGCGTCTTACAAATTGATCGGATCATGTTCTGCATCGGGGATCCAATTTGAATGCGCGCAGGTCACTTTTCGCCTTTAGCCATTCCTCTAAAGTAAACCTTTAGTCCGTGGACCGTTGAACTGGTAGAGCCTTAAAAACCTGGAGTTGATAGACACGATACAATTGTGTCATAGGACTACTTTTTGGCCCGTGCATAGGACTGTAAATATTGTGCACAGCCAACCTTCTCCAACTGCTCTGGAGAAAGGATTAGACTCAATTAGGGGACGAGGCTCTCCGGTAGAAAAGTTTTGATTTAGCTCCCCCCGCCCCTGCCGCAGCAAACACCCCTTTTGCCGCTAGCCGGCGTAAGGGTGCCTGGCCAGTTGGTGCTCCGGCTGCGGCTGTTTGGGAGCCGCTCTCCAGTACTGTACCAGTACAGCATTCTCCAGTGGGTATTTGGTTTCAAGCGGTACCAAATTTTTGGCGTGGTTTCTGGCATAGGAGAATTCAAGTGCCGTTCTGACAGGACGCCTCACTTTCCGGAGAATCCTCGTATCATAATTCGCTATCTCTTGCTAGCTTTGTATATCCCGGTCCGGAGAAGTATCAGCGGTTTCCAGGCATGGTACAGTAGTGAACTCGAGTACAGCCTGAGTTTTTCCGACTTGTTGGTTTCTACTTAACTGGTATTCGCGATTCGGTTAACCTGCCAAGCTAAATCCATTGAGGGCCGATGCGGTGATTTCCGTCGATAATCTGGGGGGAAAATTCCAATAAATTCTCACATGCACCGTACTGTACTGTACATACTCGAGGGATTTGCGCCGCGTGAGTACCGCGTGGGAAGCCACTAATTCTTGCGAGTGGTCGTCCTCCTAAGCGCTTGTCTTTGCGCCGCAGGCGGCTACCCCCCACTTTGCGGATCTGTGCTACCCGTGGGCTATAGTGTTTTCCATTGAAGGGGATTTGTGCCTCGGGGGGGGGGGTGCCTCATGGGTATCATAGCATATCAACCTTCTTTTCCCCCCAGGGGTGTATTTAATGCTCGAGCGTGTCTCATGTGCTGGGCGTATTCCCGTAGGCAACCTAGGTGTTCGACCCCGGACTATTAATCAGCCTTAGCCACCTCAATGCTCGGACATTGCTGGTCAGAGTGAATAGAGTTTGGCCACAAAGACAAATTTCCGGCCTTAGTCAAGGTGGCAAATGAGAGGTTAAAGAGCGGGTATCCTCTCCGTAAAGTTAGCCCTTAGAGGCGACTGATATCGCCTAATTATCCGCTTCAAATTGGGCCTCGCATGACGAGTACCAGTGTGGGAGGCGCCATATATACCTTTATACTCTACTCACTATACTTATCATCACAAATCCTGTAAGACTGCACTGTCCAAATGCATTTTGTGCAGAGCTGTGGAAATTAAGTCGGCGTTTCCCGTCCTAGAGATTCCACAACCCACTCATGTCCAAACCCGTTGATATGCAAGGAGTCCAATCACCGTTATATCTTCAGTACCCAGGAGGGCACTCCAGGCACCCCCTAGTGCCGGGAGTGTATACTATTCCACTATGAAACGCTCCCTACATCTGGCGCTTCCCTGCCTTCTAGATTGCTTTATGGTGATATTTGGCTGTTATCTTTCCGTCGGGCGTGTGGGGAATGTCGGGGAATTTATCACTCGATGATTGCGGAGCATAAAATTGTTCAATGAAACCTCCTAAGAGATATAGAGTGGAAGCTGATAAATAGAAGTGATAACTGAAACGAAGTGATTTCCTCCAGCCCAAGCTGACAAATTCTGGATGGTACTGGCTATGTTCCGGAACCGCGAGAGCTCCTATATGAATGCGTGGGCTATGCTATTCCCACAGTCGGGTCCACTATGGCGGCCAATTACGCTTGGCGTTTCAGGTCTTCGCAACATATGGCAATGTATGGACGTTGTGGGGAATAGGGCGAATATTAATCATTGCGAAATGATTATGAAATTGTTATCAGATTATATCAAAAATAATTAAACGGCCAGAAGTAGCAACTGAGAGGATTTCTGGGTGAGGCAGAGCACTTGAAAATAGTAGGGTCCGTTCAGTCCTTCCCTCGGCAACCGGGGGAGTCCGGTTGTTATTGATTGATCAAAATATCATATACCAACTGAAAAGCTATCATCGGTGCGTCTTCGTCCGCTTGCTAACGGGGAAAGCAAGGGATCAACAGTCCTCCGGTATCCTGCCGTTTTCCCGCCACGTTCAATATCATCTTGAACCAGCGAGTAGGAAACATGAAATCCATGTCCACTCTTTTCCAGATCCTTCCCGAATCTCCCACAACTTTGAACAACAATCTACTCGCACGGGCTTCCCCCAAACTCTTCAAATATTCTCCCGCTCCTAAACAACTAGAATCTGCGGATATTTATCCTAAACTAAAAATCTTTTCGAAAAGATACTGCTTCTGTGATAGAATTGGGACAACGAA